AAAAATTATTTTGTTTCGAGTTATTACAAATACCAAGTAATCTATAATATTATATATATTTTGATTGTATTTGTGGAAAAACATTCTTTAAAATGATAAAATATCAATTTTTTAAATATATAATAAGTACATCGAATATATACAAATAAGCTATTTTGGATTTGTTTGCTAAAATTAATTTATTTTTTGTGATTATTTGGTCACTATTTAAATTGGTTTATATCAACATATGTCTGTAGATGTAATACGTGCCTAAATAGTAATTAAAATTCTGAAAACGCATTTAGAGGAAAAATGAAAAGTAACTGCCTCCTATTATTGAACACTTTATTGGGAAAAATCTATTCTATATATATATATGAATATTTTTGAATCCAATACATTCTCGTAGAATTTAAAAAAAGTTATTGGAAAAGTTATATGTTATTGGTCGCATAATCGTTAGAACATAATTTTATACAGCATATATGAATAGAAAATAAATTATGAATTATATGTAATATCAATAAAGGAGCTCTTTTATAAACGTGTACACACGTCTATACACACTTGTGAAATTATCTGCTTGTCATCTCCTTGCTTTGATTATCTATTTCAAATATATTTATAATATCAGAGAATCCATTAAAGGCAAATTATTGTAGTATATAAGAAGATACATGATATATGTATATATTAGGGGAATGTACAATAAATCACTTCGTCTTACATATTTCGAACGTTTCAGAAATACTGAAAGACAGTATATTTTTGTATATTTAAATTAAGATATTTTTTAGGAAAGGTATATAAATCATAAAATTATGAAATTTACAATATAAAAGGTTTTCTAATTAAAATGTAATAATTACAAAAAAGATAAACGTTCCTTTTATACTTTTCAGTAGTTCTGACACGTCATAGGCGAGTATATTGTAAATATACTACAGTACTAACAAATTTTTGAAAGTAGTAAAAAGCATATTTCTATTTACATATTATCAAGAATTGTATTATTTTCGAGTCTTCAATATTAAAAGCATATTATTCATTGATAAATATACATATGTAATGTGGCAAGCATAAAGCATACATCTGCTATTGACTATATTTATTAATTGTCAATATATATAGATATATTTATCAATATATCTCTGCTTACTGTAATTATTTTTAAAAATCCATGTTTCATACACACGCGCGCGCGTACGTGTGTGTATATATTCTATATATATATATATATTGAAATTCTCCATTTTTTTAAAGAAAATGCTTATTCTACATTTCAAAGGAATGAAGTAAATTAAGGAGAAAACTAAGTATATTCTAAAATTATATATATTTATAAAAATATGATAGTTATCACAGAATTTATGAATATCAGTTTTGTCAGCATCTTTAGTATAAAGTCTATATATTTATTTATTTATTCGTTTTGATAATATTCTGAGGAATTTTTATTTTAAGAAGCCTGTGACGTGATATGTTCAAACGCGTGATTTCTATTTTGAGACTTAAGTTATAATATGAACACGCCTAAATATCGTACAATATACGCGATTTCTTCCTGCCATCACAGTTTTTTATATTGCACTAAAACTCAATAGATATTTTATATATTATTTGTTAAAATCCTATTAATAAGAAATATGTAAAAATTGTAATATTATTTTAAAATCCCATTAATGAGAAATACGTAAATTGTAATATTATTTTCTTGTATACGTGATATTTTTATTAATTAATAACAAACGATTTAACATCTTGTTGAAAATAATATTAAATCCAGGTATGTATTTTTATATCATATAAAAATCTGTACGTGTAGCCACTGTTTGAAAGCAGTTTCTACAGCAAGTCGATTATAAATATTAATAAGCATAAATTAGAATTGATTTTTTTTTAAATTAAAGTAAAGAGATTTTGTGTAAGTGCATATTCTAATGCATAATAAAATTATGCTTCGTCTACTAAGGCACTCTATACTGAAGCTTTATCATGTAATATAATATATTATCAGAATTGTTTTATCTTCGGCAGAATTTCTTGGTTGTGAGCCAGAGTTTATAATCTAAATGAAGTACATGAGACAATTCACACATTTATGATATAAATGAAATATTGAATTATGAACAATTTGTACTTGCAACTTAACATAAAATTTTATCTAATGATTTATATAACTTCTTTTTAAGATAAATACTTTAATATACAATTTTTTTTAGGAATCCCATAAGTGTGTTTAATTACGTGAGCAATTTTATATAAATTTTTAATTTCTGTGCATATAAACGCAACAGCTGGTTATAGATATAACAGTAATGTTATAACTATAACAATACATAACAGATAAAAAATAGATAGAGTAATAAATATACTTAAGTAACTTCCGTTGTACGTGTTGTCAAGTATGTGTATCCTTTGAGCTAGCGCCTAATTATAAGCAATTTATGATTTGTGATTTATTATTTGTATAGTGTAACTATATATGAATCAACAACATCAACAGATTGATAATAATTTGCACTTCTTAATTTTGTTTAAAAAACCGATTCGTAAATTGAATGGTAAACAACAAATGCGAATTCGGTGAATTTGTCCATTCACACTACTTATAAACTGCGAGCTTCGAATCACAAATTATGTATAGTTTGACGCTAACTTTAATAGGATCGTAATACATATCATTATATCCATAGATTTTTAGGAAACAAGGAAGAAGCTTTTTTTCTATAACGGTATAAAATAATGTGTAGATAGTTACGAAAGTCTACATCTATCTCGGTTTCCAGAAGGCACTGGTTGTAACATACGTCTGCTTCTCTCTTCATCGTCTAAGGAAGCTTGGAGAGCTCTAGCTAATGCTTCATCTTCGGTCATCGTTCCTTGAAGGCTTCGAAATGGATGCGAATTGCTGTTGCTGCTATTCGGTGATATTTTCGTTTGACTTTTCTTATTTAGTGCCTCCAATCTACGTAATCTCAATGCCTCCTCCGCTCCGATACAAGCGTGATCGGTGGGATGTCTGTGCTTGAGGCAAAAATTGGCACCGCATTCATTACATTTTACCGGCACCATCTCTTTGACTTTGCACCCCTTTGAAGAACACTTATTGGAGAATACCTTTCTACGGCTTTCTCTACAGTCATTATCTATATGCAATCCTACGGCTACGTCAGGCAGATCGCCACGCTTTATTGGTATAGGAACATCACACAATGGGCATACAGGCACCTGTATATTCTTCTTGTACGCGCTGGGGCAGCTGTGAGTTGTATAAGTTATATGATCTGTGCAAAAGATTCCTTGACAAGCATCGCACTTTAGAGGTAAAAAATCCAAGCGGTTGCATGTGCTCTCAGAGCAATGTTCTCCCAAATTTGGAAATTCCATTTTGATAACGTTGTAATTTTCTTCACCAGATCTCTGCAAATACAATTTGACAAAATCAGAATTACAATTACATCCTCTTTGACAATGAAAATGTATAATCCATTAATTAGTCAGATTAACGATTTTATTCTAAGAAATATAAAATGGAATTGAAAATAGTCTGTTATAAAAAAATCAAACTCAAACAATCTTAGGCTGCTTTTCCTTTATGAAATCAACATACTTGTTTTATCCTTGTTATTCATTGAATGCCAAGAAGTAATGCTTTTCATCGAGAGATACAGCATAACACAGTGATTACTTCATCTTTGCTTAACATTGGCGAACAATAAGAATATGAGTCAATGTATTACACTGTGTCATCTGTATTTCTTGCTAGAAAGCACCTTGTATTATTTGTAACTTTTGCTGGAAAGAATCCAATGATGGAATGACATTATCATTATATACAATTAGAAGACATAATTTATATCTATTATGTCTCCTATGAAGAAGAAAGCAGCCATAATCAATCTTAAGCAAGGACGATTTAAAACCTCTTAGGTCTGTTTTCACAATATATGGTTACCTAAAGATTAAAGGTTACTAACAGATTCTGAAATGAAATTCATTCATGAATTTCCTTCAATTTTTAGATAATCATATTCTGTGAAATCGAGCCACATTGATACATTTTTCTCTATGTTTTAAACAAGTCTTACAATCTTTGAATTAGTCCTCACATCACTCCATACCATTCGTTCTCGCTGTCAAACAAAGCATTTTCTCGACGGAATATCACAAAATCCGATCATAAAAGCTCAAGATCAAACGTACATTGTACGTGAGGCTAAACGTTGACGTGGAAATAACAGAGAAGATCATGCAATTGTCACGATAAATTTTGTAATGACAATGTACCTTGACTCAGCCAAAATGAAGAGCTACGAAATTGTAGGCGCTGCGCGTTTTTCTCCTCTCTCTCTCTCTCTCTCTCTCTCTCTCTCTCTCTATCACTGACGTAACACAAGTCTTTAAGCACGTACGTGATTAATCGCTCAAATTTTACGATTGTACGCTACAATTTTCGATAGCAGACAGGGCAGCATTTGACAGTAACTCTGACAAACCAATCTTACCCACGACAGCCGCATGCACTCAACACTGATGAAACCAGGCACGTGTACCTTCTTTATATATTCTCACGCGGCGATAGAAACCGATGACCAACGATGATCGACGATTTTCGGACCTGCACCTATCTACACTCTCGCAGAGGAGAATGCAAAGGTGTCATCGAGATCGATGACGAAGAGATCGAACGTAACGCGATATCGCGACGTCGCGACGATTACGATTCGTGCGGACGTGCGAGTAAATTAAGATCACCCGCTAGATTCGAAAGAGGCAACCAAGCGCGTCAGCGGACTCAACTGTTTTACTGTTGAGCGAGCGCTCGCTGCTATTGATATATTCTTCTGGATCTAAAATTTGATTGGATGATCTAAAAGAATACACCAATAATAGCGAGCGTTTACTCAATTGTCGAATCACTTGAGTCTGCTGAACCGCAGCCAGTGTAACACAGTGAATCATTACATTCTTATTTGCACCAATCTAAATTGGATTAATGACGTTGTATGCTCTTCCAGATAACACAAAGTATCAAAAAAAGAGACATAGACGTCTTTGGCGTCTAAAAGACGTCTTGAAGACGTCTTATGTCTCAATGTGTTGTCTGGGCTTCTATTGGTGGAATATGTAACGTCAACCAATAGTAGAACATTATCCAACCCAAATAGGAACAAATCCGCTCGGGTCGAAAACGTAATCGTAGTTTTCTATACGTTATAAAAATTATCAAATTCATAGAAACTCAAAATACATAGTGATCTTTCAAAAGCAAAGATTTTAAGTTTTAAAACTTTTTTTTTTTTTTATTTAAATTTCATTCATTTTGAGTTACAGCAAAGTTACAGCTATTTGAATTTGGTAATTCGTAGCACTATAATGTTCGTTTCCACCAATGTAAATTAACTTTAATCTCGGTTCAACTTACTCTTCGTCTTTTTTTAATTCTAAAGATTTGAAAAAGACGAAGAGTAAGTTGAACCGAGATTAAAGTTAATCTACGTTGGTGGAAATGGGCATAAATTTATCTTCTTAATATTATGCTAATTAAAATAATTATCTAAGACAAAATATACAATATATATAAACATCTTTCTTTATGCATTTAATTATAAATCTAACACATTTGCAACTTTAAAAATAATGCCTTGAGGTATCGCGCCTCGTAAACGACCGTCCGTTTGCCCTGAGGTGAAATGTTTAGCATGTCCTGTATGTCGAACGGCTGGTCGATCACTGTCATTATGTCCTTGCCATAAACTGAAATTTCAGATAGAGAAACACACAAATATAAGTCCGTCGTTTAAAATAATATTTACAAGATCAGCCGAACTTTTGCTAAGTTAATCGTCCAATCGACACCAACTAACATAAATTTATAATCAATGTTATAATTTTACGCTTAACAACTGTAACTGTTATATAACACCATGAAGAGCGCTAACATTGTTAACGCTTATTTATGTCATTCAATCTTTATTTTTCTTTATATTTATTTAATAAATGCTAAAGATAGAATGATATAAATAGTGCTAATAGCGTTTTTCCAAACGTAACTCAGCTGTTAAACATATAATCAAGATTTATATTGCTATAATTGTTAAATGTGAAATTATATCATTGATGTTATATCACTTTCAGTTGGTGTCGATTGAGTGATGATTAGTTTCTCGGTCAAAAATTTTTCATACATGAATATGTATAAATATGTATAAACATACATAAACACGTATAGATATTCATAAACATGTATAATTATATATAAAATGTGTCCATACATGTTCATACATCCTTTTTTCTTTTGTAAAATTACTTTTCAGTGTAATAGAAATAATAATAGCAATGTGAAAACATTAAAAATAATTAAAGAGATCATTTTCACATTTTTTGTTTTAGAAAAAAACAAGCTTGGAAAAATGTAAAAAAAATTGCTTATAATTATGCATAATTTTATATATAATTATACATAAGTAATTTTTTTACATTTCTTCAAACTTGATTTTTTTCTAAAAACAGTTTTTTTATGAAAAAATTACATTTTTAATTATTTTTAATATTTCCACAATTTTATTATTATTTCTATTACACTAAAAAGTAATTTTACAGAAGAAAGAAGGATGTATGGACACACATATGGACATATTTCATATATAATTATACATGTTTATGAATATTTATGCCTATTTATGTATGTTTATACATACTTATATACATATTCATAAATGAAAAATTTTTTACCGGATTTTGACTAGTACAATTCTAAACTGTTAATACAATCCATCCCTTTTTCTCTTCCATATGTCCAGCAACAAGAAGTTAATAATTTCATTCGTATATTAATAAAATATTACAAATAATACTTTACAAGTTAATTGAAAGCTATATACCTTCGCAATGCTCTAAAAATTGAATACATTCCTGCAATGTGGAATCTTTCAGGACCACTAACTGTTTTGCTAATTGCTCCAGGAGCGATAAAAAGCATCTTTTCGCATAGAACCAGGTGTCAGTGCCGAGTTTCTTATTGTAGGGCTCCAGACTCTTCATCACTCGCGATATGCCGAACTCGTAATTCCCCTTTGAGCAGTACAATGTTCCAATTACTAGATTCACGATGCACAAGTGAAAAAGTTTCTTGTCCTGATCTTCAAATGATACCGCCTCTTCCTCTTTCTCAATCTTCTTCATCAGCTCTTCGGCCTCTGCGTTTTGCGAGGTCATGATGTAGCTGACGCAAAGATTCGCAAGGACTATAGCGCTCACATCCAGGATCTACAAATAGATTGCAAGCGTCAGAATATGGCAAAGAGAAAAAAAAAACAAAATCATAATATTAGAGAAATCAGAATTCATTACAATATCATCATCAAAAATACTAAATGACATCATATTTTTTTCCAAAATGACTTCTACTTGATCTTATTATGATTGTGTTTTACGTGGAGAAATGGTCTTTGCTTCTAACACTGTCATATTTCTTCTTGACGATCGGTTCATAGAAACGTGTCGAGTCCTTAAATTTATTCTCCTGCATGAAAAGCGTGTGCGCCACATTCAGCTTCCACACGTCGTTATCGTTGCAGAACTCAACGCTCTTCTTAAAGATCTTCTCCACCTGGGTGTAATTCTCCAGGTCCCAGTAGATCTTCGCTTGCGCCATTAATACTGGAACGTATCTGTCGAGGGCCTCCTCATAATCGTTCACAGCTTTTTTCACGGCATTATCGTCGTGATTCAGCCTCGCCTCCTGGACCTGCTTGGTCGCTTTGCGAAGCGCTTCCGTATGTTTGTTAGCGAGATCATCGAATTTGCGATATGCCTCTTCCGGCGAAGTTTGTTGCGTTATTAGCGCGTCCAAGAAGTCGTATAAGTACTGGAAAGATAATGCAAATTTAAAAATAATTCTAATATTATCAATAAAACATTATTGTATATCAGCTAAGAGTATATTATAAATCCTTTAATCAAAATTTGCTTAAAAATGTTTATAAAATGAACTCTATTTTTACAGAATATCTTATTAATCCATAAATGGAATTACTAATTTATTTGTATTTCACAATCTCATTTTTCATAATTTTGTTTTATACAAGCCAATTATTTATAAGTTTAAATTTTTTGTATACAATTTTGGCTAAAATGTTAGATATTTAGAGTTTTCTATCCGGAATTCTTATTTTATCTGCAATGTTTCTATTGATTATTATCGGCATTATACATAAGTTTAAAGGGATCTTGAAGTAAAGTATAATTTACAGCAAATGTCATAAATTAATGTTTAAACTAAAACTTTAAATAATGTGTTTAATACTTTTGGCCAAGATTGTAGTTAAAAATCTTAAAACTTCTTTTAAAAACAGCAAATTTTACTATTTAGCTCTTGAGAAGACCTATATATTTTCTGTTACAAGTTAACATCGTTTTATATCATATTTTTGTTACCGTGATATTTTCTAAATTAAATAGAACGTTAAATTAAATAAATATTAGAATATTACATATAAAAAATTGTAATCAGAATCAAGAATTTCTATTTTTGCTAATTTTTTTTCATTTTTGCAAAATATCTACTATTAATACATTTATATCCCATATACGTTTGTTGCATTGTTCTATGAATTTTAACGTATTTGTAAATACTTTAATCAAAATTTCAATTGTCTCGTTAAAAAAATAATAAAGAATGTCCCCTAACATTGCGGACATATCGATATTACGGCCCTGTGTTTGTTGATAGAAATCTAACCTATAGCGCAATTTTTCTTTTTATTGATTTTACACTTGTTGAAACGTCATCATTCTCATAGAGATGTTTCTTCGATGAAAAATCAAAGATGACGAAATGTGAACTGAATCAAATATTTCTGGGTGAAGTCGCATCCGTGCAAAATTACGGAGCCTTCGTCAGAATACCAGGTACCTCGCAGCAAGGCTTAATACATCGATCACAGGTGTGTATTATTAGACTCATATAATAAATACTAGTAGTAATAATCTCTGGTGTAACGTAATTAATTGATTTCTATGCAATTCTCGTCAGGTAAGCACGGCTCATGTCGACAATGTTGCAGAAGTCTTGCAAAAGGGTGAACGGGTCTGGTGTAAGGTGATCTCGGTTGGGGAAGACGGCAAGATAGGGCTGTCTATGAAACACGTGAATCAGGGAAATGGTACGGACCTGGACCCTAACGGTGTGGAACTGCAAAGAGATACGCAACGGAGAAAAAATCCAGGAACAACTCAGCATAAAGCCATACAGTTGGAAGCAGTACTGAATACTACATGTACCAAGTGCGGGACCAGAGGACATTTGTCCAAGGATTGTTTCATGTCTCCCGATGGCAAGAAATATGAACTGATTCCAGAAATCGAAGACTTAGATACTGTCCCGGAACTGGACAGTAAGAACGCTGAGAAAAAGATAGAGAAGAAGCATAAATCAAAAAAAAAGAAGAAAAAGTCCAAGAGGAGCAAACAATCTACTGATGACAGTGATACAGAAGATAAGGAGAGGAGCAAGAAAAAGAAAAGAAAATTTTCTAAAGAACGCAAGAAGCATAGAAAGAAATACAGCAGCAGTTCAAGTGACTCCTCCGATAGCTCATCATCTGATGACGCAAAGTCTCACAAACGGAAACACTCAGACGATCACGAAATTCGTACCAAAAAATGCAAACATTCGAAAACCAAACATTCTTAAGTAATTGTTCTTGACCTTTTTTTTAGTTATAATTTCATTTAACTATACCTTGTGTTGCATGTAGCTTGTATATAAAATAATAAGGCTGTAAATTTTCAAATGCTCAAATTGAAGTCTGACTAATAAAAATGACCGATTAAGAATTAAACTTACTGGCGTCAGATACTTGTAAGTCAAATGTACATTTTCAGCCAAGACATCGGCGGCGAGATCATAATACTGATATTTACAGTACAGGAGTAACAAGTTGGCGAAAGTCTCGGGTGGGAATGGATTTTGCTGCAGCAGAAACTGCAGTTTCTCGAATCCTTCGCTCGGTTTTGTGTCCATATTTATTAACGCCTGATTGTGTAAAGTAACAGCATCGAGCTCCTCCTCGGAACGCGGTGGCATGTCCGTTAACGCCTCCTTCGCCGCGTCATCTGTAATATTAAGCAAAACTGTAAAAAGATCTTTCTAAAAAGGTAGCGACGCGAAATTACAATTTTGTAATTGATACTCGATGGCGGCTTTCAGATTGAACGCCTCCGTCAGAGCTGTCTCGTGCAGCGTCAATGTATTCCCGACACTTCGAACTTCAATACCCTCGGTAGCCATCCCTACGCTCAACTCTGGATGCTCCCTTATACCATGTTCGATAATAGTGGCAATATGTTTCAGGGATGCTGCATACTCTTTCAATTTGAAGTAGCAAAGGGCAACGTTATATGATAAGTGAGGCTTGAATCCTGCAATTTGTAATGCGTTCGAAAACTTTTTGAGGGCTTGTTCGTACTTTTCCTCCTAGAAACATAATCGTGCATATACATCAATCAATAACGTTCAACTGATAGTAAATAACTAAGAGTAATATAACGTCAATTTTATTTCACAGCGATTTATTTCAACAATGTAATTGTTATATACAGCATGTGTTGTATTATATTCATATAATTGTTATTGAGTGTAAAATTAACATTGTGTTATATTACTATTGATGTTTAGTGAAGAGTATTACTGATATCTGTACCTTATACAAGAGACATCCCAGATTGATTTCAGTATCAACATCATCGGCAGGACATTGATCCACGAGATTTTTTGCAGCTACCATGTCTTCCTGCCCATACTTTATAGCTGCCTGCAGCTTCTTTACTTTGAATTCCAAGTTACTTTGATTGATAATGCTCGAACAAATTGTCCATGCTTCCGGATACATGCAAGCTTGATGCAAAGACTGGGCATAGTAAAGCTTATACAGATTTTCCTGTGGGCACAGTTGCACCAGCTTCTCATAACATTGAGCTGCAGCCATGAAATCTTGTGTATAAAAGTAACAATGGGCCAGAAGGGATAAACAAGGTCTAGACTGAAAAAACACTTTATTCAGTATTAGCGTTTACATAAATTGAAAAACACAATATCACATTGCAGCATACATACATTAGGATGAGTATCTAAAAGGTTTAACAAGACTTTAATACATTCAATATATCGTTGTTCTCTTATCTGGAACACAATATTCATTATTTATTTCTTTATGTTTATACTTGTATTTAATTATATTTCTTCGTTTTCGAAGATTATAAAAATTAACAAGGCAAAAATATTTAAAAACTATCCTGTTTTTTATTTATTCGCCTTTAGATTTATTTGTTAAAAAAATTATTTAATGTATAT